ATTGGGTGGTCCTGCCCACTTTTCAGGCAGACCTGCCCAGGACATACTTGAAAACGAGAGAAATCTCAATGTATCTTTCCTGGTAAAATATTTTATAAATAAATAATAATATAAATAAATAAATATGGTAGTCACCAGTGTGGTAGTCACCAGCCCAGCTATTCACCTGTCTCAATTCCATACATCCCAATGTTGGAAAGCATGCGATAAGTGTTTGGTTCAAAATCTATCATTTTCCTATGCATATCCTATGTAGGATTCACATTTTTACAAAACACCAATGTAAACGAGATCTTGCCAGAGACAGGCAAACCCAGTAAATAAATTCAATAGCTATTTAGCAAATACATTTATTGAACTATGAAGTAATTGCCAATGGCTGGTAATGCTAGTAAAAAAAAAAAAAAACCTCAGCAGTGTGAGCTTCAACGTGATACTCTTTGTAACAGGCAACCAAGAAAAACTCACAGGCACTCCAAATGTGAAGCCTCAGGCAGATTTATTGCAACAAAATGCACAGCAACGTTTCGACCTGACTAGAGGTCTTTGTCAAGCAGTAAATAAATCAACCTCTAGTCAGGTCAAAACGTTGCTGTGCATTTTGTTGCAATAAATCTGCCTGCGGCTTCACATTTGGAGTGCCTGTGAGTTTTTTTTGTTTGCTTGTGAGTTTTTCTTGTTTGCCTTGTCGTGGTGGGATTGCTCGTCCTGCTCCGGAGCACCCGTGGCCGTTGGGAGTGAATGCGGTTCCTGCCATCAACCTTACTCTTTGTACCAGAACCACTACAGTTTTATGTAGGTGTTTACAAAATACTATCCCTGTAGTCTCGGTGTTGTAAATGCTGCATTTTCTAAAAAAAAATAGTGTTTACTTCGCTTTCGAAAGACACATTTAGAGGTTCTCCTCTATGAGGAGATGCTGATTAGCCCCTTAAGGACACAACTTCAGAAATAATAGGGAATCATGACAGAATATTTCCATCATGTGTCATTAAGGGGTTAGAGCATGTCACACACAGTGATAACTATTGATGTGTGAAGGCAGTGTCGGAATTACCACTGTCGCAGCTGCGACCGGGCCCCTGCAACCGTGGGCTTCCTAGAGGAACACTGTCACAGGGTCCCACCTAGGGCACCCCCAAATTGACGCTTGTACAGTGAGGCAGAGTAGGCACCTGCTTACCTTGATGGCAGGTGCCTTCTCTGCCGATATATACTGAGGGGAGGACAGGTGGCAGGAGGTATTTGGTGGCGAGGGAGCACTGATCTGACAGTTCCTCTCTCCTCCCTTGCGTGTCCTCTATGATGCTGGGAGACATAATATGACGTCAATCCAGCCCCTGCATACTAAACAGCGCGCAGGAGGAGAGAGGAACTGTCACAGCACAGCCCCATGGAGAGGACCCAGACCAGCTATCCCAAAGGTAGGGAGGCTGGAGCGGCCTCAAAAAAGTAAAATTAATTTGTGAGAGTGTGCAAGAATGTGTGTGTGAGTGTCAGTGTATCTGTCAGCATGTGTGTGTGTCAATATGTGACTGTCAGTGTGTGTCTGTCACACACGTGGGTCTGTCAGCGTGTGTGTGTCTATCAGTTTGTGTGTGTGACTGTCAGCGTGTGTATATGTGTGTCTGTCAGTATGTGACTGTCATTGTGTGTGTCTGTCACACACGTGGGTGGGTGTCTGTCAGTGTGTGTGTGTGTCTATCAGTTTGTGTGTGTGACTGTCAGCGTGTGTATGTGTGTGTCTGTCAGTATGTGACTGTCAGTGTGTGTGTCTGTCACACACGTGGGTGGGAGAGACACATGGAGGGTTTGGGGGGTCGGTGAGAAGCATGGAGGGGTTGTGGGGTGGGAAAGACACATGGGAGAGCTGGGAGGTGGGAGAGACACATGGAGGGACTGGGAGCTGGGAGAGACTTATGGGGGATTGGAGAGACACATTGAGGGGCTGGGGGCGATGAGACACGTGGCACTTCTAGACAGCACTTCCCTACTTTGTCTCAATATCTCTCTTAACTGGGTTGGAATTTCCGTCAGTATGAGCATTTCATAAAGATTCTATCTTCATGAAATACTATTTTTTTTTCGGGGGGGGAGAGTGATAGTGGCTCAAGTGGCCAATTATTATTATTGGATGTCTGCTGATGCTGGGAGCCGGGTTGATGACGTCATATTCCGGCTCCCAGCATCAGCAGACATCCCGCGCGGCGAGAGGGAGCAGAGAGCACACAGCTCCCTCTCCGCGTGTGACAGGGAGAGAGCCGTCCTCACTGCAGCCCCACTGGACCCCAGGGAAAGGTAGGGATGCTGGGTGGGAAATGTTAATTAGTTAATAATATTATTAATTTGTATATGTGGATGTCTGTGTGTGGATGTCTGTTTGTGGATGTCTGTGTGTGGATGTGTGGATGTCTGTTTGTGGATGTGTGGATGTCTGTTTGTGGATGTGTGGATGTGTGGATGTGTGGATGTGTGTTTGTGGATGTCTGTGTGTGGATGTCTGTTTGTGGATGTCTGTTTGTGGATGTCTGGATGTCTGTTTGTGGATGTGTGGATGTCTGTTTGTGGATGTGTGGATGTCTGTTTGTTTGTGGATGTCTTGTGGATGTGTGGATGTCTGTTTGTGGATGTCTGTTTGTGGATGTGTGGATGTCTGTTTGTGGATGTGTGGATGTCTGGATGTCTGTGTGTGGATGTGTGGATGTCTGTTTGTGGATGTGTGGATGTCTGTTTGTGTATGTGTGGATGTGGATGTCTGTGGATGTCTGTTTGTGTATGTGTGGATGTGTGGATGTCTGTTTGTGGATGTGTGGATGTCTGTTTGTGGATGTGTGGATGTCTGTTTGTGGATGTCTGTTTGTGGATGTGTGGATGTCTGTGGATGTGTGTTTGTGGATGTGTGTTTGTGGATGTGTGGATGTCTGTTTGTGGATGTGTGGATGTCTGTTTGTGTATGTGTGGATGTCTGTTTGTGGATGTCTGTTTGTGTACGTGTGGATGTGTGGATGTCTGTTTGTGGATGTCTGTTTGTGTATGTGTGGATGTCTGTGGATGTGTGTTTGTGGATGTGTGTTTGTGGATGTGTGTTTGTGGATGTGTGGATGTCTGTGGATGTGTGGATGTCTGTTTGTGTATGTGTGGATGTCTGTTTGTGGATGTCTGTTTGTGTATGTGTGGATGTGTGGATGTCTGTTTGTGGATGTCTGTTTGTGTATGTGTGGATGTCTGTTTGTGGATGTGTGGATGTCTGTTTGTGGATGTCTGTGTATATGTGGATGTCTGTTTGTGTATTTGTGAATGTCTGTTTGTGGATGTCTGTATGTCTGTTTGTGGATGTGTGGATGTGGATGTCTGTTTGTGGATTTGTGGATGTCTGTTTGTGGATGTGTGGATGTCTGTTTGTGGATTTGTGGATGTCTGTTTGTGGCTTTGTGGATGTCTGTTTGTGGATGTGTGGATGTGGATGTGTGGATGTCTGTTTGTGGATGTGTGGATGTCAGGATGTGTGGATGTCTGTCTGTGGATGTCTGGATGTGTGGATGTCTGTCTGTGGATGTCTGGATGTGTGGATGTCTGTCTGTGGATGTCTGTTTGTCTCAGTGTGTGTAGGAGTGTATTTATGTCTGTTAGCGTTTGTACGTGTGTATGTGAGTGTATGTGCTTCTGTTAGTGTATGCATGTGTATGTTTGCAATTGCATGTATGTGCATACGTTATTGTAAGTTTCTGTCAAATAAGTGAGTCTGTCATTTAGTGTGTGTGTGACTATTAGTGTGTGTCTCTCTGTCAATGAATGAGTGTGTGTCAGTGAATGTGTGTGTCAAATCAGTGACGTCTGTGTGTTTGTCATTGAATGTGTGTGTTACTTACAGTGTGTATCTGCCAGTGTGGGTGTCTGTCAGAGAGTGTGCTTAAAGGGACACTATAGGCACCCAGACTACTTCAGCTCCTTGAAGTGGTCTGGGTGCAGTGTCCCAGTCCCCTTAAACCTTCTCAGAAACTGCAATAATTACCTGAGGGGTAACTCCAAGTCTAGTGGCTGTCTATCAGACAGCCACTAGAGGGACTTTCGGGTGGTTAGGTGACCAAAAGTCACCTAACTGATGCTGGACGTCCTCACCCTGTGCATGAGGACATCCAGCATCTGCTAAATACCCATAGGATTTTAACCCCTTCAGTGTCGAGTGGGGGAGGAGAGGACATGAGAGGAGGGGGGCACTATACGGAATTATAGTATTATAGTATTTCTTTAAAAGGACATGAAGGAGTGGTAAATTTAGATTGGGGGGTGCTCTATAGTCATGTCTAGGGCAGCATAAAATTAAAATACACCACTGTGTGAGTGTGTGTGCACGCGTGTGTATGTATGTGTGTGTATATATATATATATATATATATATACACACACACACACACATACATACATACATATATATAAACATACATACAAGTGTTTTGGGTTTTTTGGGGGGGAGAGTTCCCACACTTTTTTCCCCAGGACTTGACCCCTGGGGGTATGAGACAAGAGGTAGCAGAGGAATTTGTATGTGATGGCAGAGAGAGTTAATGGTATACCTACAGCAGCTGATAGCATGTGAAGGTAATAGGGATGTAATTGGTGTGGTTCCAAACAGCTGGAGGCACATGCTATATACCGTAGTTAGAAGGAACCTGGGTGGGTAGAGCCCAGTAAAATTGCCAATGGGATAAACTCTCTGGTTGCAGTCCACGAGGTGCACAGATCTACTGCCGCTCTTGGCTATGCTTTCTGGGGACTTGGGCCAAACTCAGGATCCCATAGTCTAAAATCGGGACAGTGTGAGGGTTGGAAGATATTGTGGACTTATGGAAAAAAATATTAAAGATAAAAAAAATCATGTAGATAAAAGATATATTACAGAGAAGTGTTGGTAATGTTTTATAAAGCCATCCTTTGTTTTCCTATGACACCCCCTGCACCCTAAAGGAATACATGGGACTGACTAGTGCATTATGTAAGCTATGACTTTCCCTTTCTTGAAGGCCACAGGCAGCTGTCAGTCTCCGCAGCGCCCCCTCCTGGCGTTTATGCAAACAGTACAACCACGTGACCCGAGCACGTCCAGGAACGTCATTTCACTGCTGCTGCGTAGTAAACGAAGACGCATTGATGGCGAGTGTCGGTCGCCTGTTTTGCGCTGCCTGGACCAGGTGCAGAGTACCGGAGATCCGCGTGCCCTGCGCGGGTTATCACAAGAAGGTAGCGGGCACTGAGATAGTCTGAGTGTGCAGTATGGTGGGAGCGTGGCTGTGTGTGAGTGCTGGACCCGGGCTGAGCAAGTCAAACTACACGGGTCAGTCAGGCTGGCCAAAAGGCCGAGAGCCAGCTGGGATTTAGAAGTACTACAACTCCCATGATGCTTTGTCGGCCTTATTGCTGGTGGAGAATCATGGGAGTGGTAGTTCCAAACAAGATAGGCTCTGCCGTTTGGCTGTTTAAGGACTAGGAGAGCTGAGGTGAGGGCTGACTGCCCAGTGGCTGCCCCATGGTGGCTTAGGCAGATGGCTGGTGCTATTCCTAAACCGTCTATCTAAAACAAGGGTATAAAAGTGGAAACATTATCATGAGAGTCAATGGGACTTTTACTGTTTGATATATTTCTATAATTTACCTTCAGAACTGATCGATATGCAAGTTCTCAGCTTTCATGGAGCATTGTATATTTTACACTGCGTATGCAGCTTTCAACGATTTCTGTGAAGACCATGTTTATAAACCTATATTAATATATTACATGGCCTCATTGTGTTTGGTGTAGTGGATAGGTTGTGTGTGTGTGTGAGTAGAGATATATATATATATATATATATATATATCTACACACTCTCACACACACAGCAATAATATTAAAACTGGTGAAGTGAATAACATTTGCTTATATCTTTACAAGAGGTGATATATATTATTCAGCAAGTGAACAGTCAGAAAAAATCGGCAAGCGCAAGGACCTGAGTAACTTTGACAAAAAGTGTTGCAAGGAAGGACAACAAGTGAACTGGCGTCGGGGTCATGAGCGCCCAGGTTCATTGATGCATGTGGAGTGTGAAGGCTTGCCCGTCTGGTCCTAGCTACTGTAGCACAAATTGCTGAAAAACCTAATGCTGTTCATGATAGAAAGGTGTCAGGGCAGACAATGTATTGAAGTTTTCTGCATATGCCGCTGTGTAGCCACAGATCAGTCAGAGTGCCCTTGATGACCCCTGTCCACCACCAAAATCGCTTTTAATGAGGATGTGAGCATCAGAATTGGACCATGGAGCAATGGTGGAAGGTTGCCTGGTCTTATGAATCATGTTTTCTTTTAGATCAGGTAGATGGCCAGGTGTGTGTGTGCTCAATTTACCTGGGGAAGAGATGGCAGCAGAATGCTCTATGTGAAGAAGGCAGGCCAGTGAAGGCAGTGTTATGCCCTGGACAATGTTCTGCTGGTGAAGCTTGGGTCCTGGCATTCATGTGGATGTTACTTTGATACATAGCAGCTACCTAGAGATTATTATAGACCACCTTATGGCAGTGGCATCTTTCAGAGGCAATATGCACCCTGCGAAAATTGCTCAAGAAAAAGAATTCAAGGTGTTGACTTGGCCTTCAAATTCTCCAGTTCCATATCCATTCGAACTCGCAACTTGGATCTGTTGCTATTGTCTTTGGGCCAGATACAGAATATGTTCAGTGGTCTTGTGAAGTCAATTCCTTGACGCATCCGAGCTGGTTTGGCAGCACAAGGGGGTCTAAACAATATTAGGCAGGTGGTTTTAAAGTTGTGGCTGATCAACAACAATGTATATGTCATTTTTATATATAAATTTTATCATAAATAGGTCAAATGCTGCCAAACTCTGCATTACTACTCTCATTAGGTGTGTGCTTAGCCTGTTTGGTTTTATTCTCTCCCCAAGTGATACATTTGTTAGTCTGTGTTAGAGGACAATTTCTCAAGGTCAGTGCTGGACAGTTGCTTCTGCTAATCATTGCATAAATGTCTTCCAGGTAGTGGATCACTATGAAAATCCAAGAAATGTTGGATCCCTTGACAAGAACTCTAAGAATGTAGGAACTGGTTTGGTTGGTGCTCCTGCATGTGGAGATGTTATGAAACTCCAAGTAAGTAGGTCATGTGTATACTTTTCTTTCATAACATGTTGACTCTTGCTTTTTCAGCCTTGATTAATTCCTGCAATATGGACTTGAAGAGTAGCAAAAACATTTACCCTATTGTAGATTTTTATTTTCTTTATAAGACCAAGGTTTGTTTAGTACATTTTCGATGTTCACAAATTGTATTTCCAGGGGTTTAAATTTCAGTGGTATGCTAATTGTCCACGGTCTCTTGAGCTGGTAATGTCTTTAACAGTGAGTCTTGTACTGTTTTGTCTTGCAGATAGAAGTTGATGAGAGTGGGAAGATTGTGGAAGCAAGATTCAAGACCTTTGGATGTGGCTCTGCTATTGCATCCAGCTCATTAGCTACTGAATGGGTGAAAGGAAAAACGGTAACTTAAATTTAGGTTTATATATTCTGCAGTTGGCTGGGCTATCTGATTTTTGCCAATTGCCATAATAAAGGTTGCAGCATGCAATAATGCTTAAGTAAACACTGTTTTCTGTAGCTTATTATATATAAAGTGAAATGCCACCTCCATACATCTAAGGGAAGCTCCATGAAGGAGGTAATCCACATATCAATGTATGGTATCAATATTAACAAAACAAAAAAAGCAAAAATAAAGTTAATTTCCTTTTAAAGTAACTTTAGCTGCTGAAAACACCTAGGCAAACAGGTAGCAGCAGCAGGAAGACAGCCTATCCTTGACCAAGAAAAGAGTCCAAGAGTCAATAGTCTCTTATCCAGACTTATACCATATACCTGTGTCCACAGGGGGATTATGGGACATGTAGTTCAATTTAGAGCAACTGTTTGATTCATGCAACCTAATGAGTGGAACTGTTGAATAAGCTGATAGCAGCTATGTGCTTCTAACAGCTTTCAGACCTTTTCAGTTTAGTAAAAGGTACAGAGCACAGCATCTTCCTGGCTCATCAGACAGTTGCTCTGTCACTGGCACAGAGTGACCCAGGCAAGTGGGAGGAGCTTTAGACGGGATTAGTAATTGGAATAAGGGTTACTGTGCCATAAACAAAAAGAGGGGGGCAGAATTGTAATCTGTGAATGCAACACAGGGTCTGTGCACCCCAACCACTACAGTAAGCGGAAGTGTGTGTGTGGTGCTTGGAGCATTCCTTTAATTATTAAAACATCCACATTAGTAATAATCACTACAAACTTGTGTTGCTGCATTTTCTCCAGTACCTCTGTAAAAGCACCACATATCAAATATCACCATAAAGGTCTAGTAAATGCATTTCCTTAACTTGTAGTTCTGAGTATGGAGAGAAGTGTATAATGGGTGGTGTATGCACTTCATCACACATTTTTGCCTTGCAAAGTGTATTTAAAAAAAAAAAAAAAAGTGCAGCTTGCAGATGAAGCCTTACTGCTTTGCTGATCAGCAGTGGGCACAATTGCACTTAGTCTGACACGAGTTCACATAGAATTTGGGAGGGTTGGTTTTTTGTTTTGTTTTTTGTTCTGTTTTTTGTTCAGGTGAATGCTTAGTAAGGTTATCTAGTTGCTATGTTATTAAAACCATGTTTACTTAAAGGAACACTCGAGGCACCAAAACAACTTGAGCTCCATGAAGCATTTTTAGTGTATAGATCATGCTACTGAATTCTGACATTTTGGTTCTGAACTATACAATAAAAAGCAGATTGTCACTGCTGACCAGTGTATAAGAGTATAGTTCTCTATTTATATGTGTCTATGTAGTGCATTGTTTTGAGAATGTAAGATTTCATATGGAAAATGCTCAAAGTCTTCTGTGCTCTACAGGTTGATGAGGCAATGACAATCAAGAACACAGACATTGCCAAAGAACTGTGCCTTCCACCAGTGAAATTGCACTGCTCCAGTAAGTATTACTACAGATTAGCTGTTGCATTTGCTTGTTAGTCATATGATTTTTTTTCTTTTACATTTATTTAGATATTAAATTAAGCACCCTGAGGTGTTACTGGAGGTACTTTCATAGGTTGGACACCTGACCTGAAAAGCTCTGGGTCTAATTTTGTCACTGATCCATGGAGGGTCTGAAGTTAATAAGTGTGGTTGGGGCCATGCAATTTCCCATGCTTTGATGCCCTTGTTTCTGTTTTTTGTTATTCTGCTCAACAACGCCCTTGCAAGCTCCTGTAGCTACTGTGTAACCATAACATAGCAGTAAAAAATAATCCATTTTCATTGTTGAATTAATCATTTGAGTAAAGACTGCTCATAAGTGAACATTCACATAATGAGCCCAACTGTGTTTGAAATAATGCTATTACAGTGCCTAATGCTAACCCAGTAAAGACTAAGCCTTTTTTGAAATGTGACCGTTTGGTGAAAAAAGCCTTTTTGACACTTTTGCCATGTGTACATTCCACCACAATAGAAACATTTATTTTTAAAAGTTCAACCATACATATTATATATAATATTTTTAAAGGAGATATGGCTTTCTTTTGATTACTTATTTACATAAATAACACAACCTTAACCCCTTAAGGACAGAGCTTCAGAAGCTTGTCTTTCACTTAATGACAACAGCATTTTTTGCTGTTTGCGTTCAACTACAATTTGCATTTTACTAATTTATTGCACCGACACATATTATATATCGTTTTTTTTTTAAAGGACAGAAAGGGCTTTAGTTTGATGTTATATATATATATATATATATATATATATATATATATATATATATATATATATATATATATATATATATATATATATATATATATATATAAATGCTTATGTATTATGAAAAAAATACAGAAATATGCAAAAAAAATGATTTTTTTGTGTTTTATTTTTACAGTTTTTGCAATAATAATGTGTGCATAATTAGTGCAGGTTAAGGAAAGTAATTAAAAATAAATTCATTTAGTTGTTCTGATTTACAGAATATATAATGTGTCTGGGATTTTCAGGGTTTTTTTTTTTTTTGTGGTTGTCACAGCAATCACATGGGCTGTTATATCTGGATTTGATGTTGCTGGTCTGCCTCTGACTTGGAGGCACCCAGCAACAGCGTTAACCCCGCGATCGCCGGCTCCGGGGTTAATTCTAACGCATGACGTACGAGGTCCATCACTCGTCATTAACACTTTCCCCTGAGTGACGGACCTCGTCCGTCACTTGTCCTTAAGGGGTTAACTCCATAGTCACCAAAACAACTTTAGCTTAATGAAGCAGCTTTGGTGTAAATATCATGCCTCTGAAGTTTCACTGCTCAATTCACTGCCATTTAGGAGTTAAATTCAGTTTTTTGTTTCTGTTTATGCAGCCCTAGCCACACCTCCCCTCACGTGGCTGTGACTGACAGCCTCCATGAAAACTAAATGGGTTTTCAATGAGATGTAACTTACTGTAAAAAATTTTTTTTATCTCCAGTTCTGTAAATTGAACTTTAACCACACACAGGATGCTCATGCAGGGTATAGCAAGCTATTAACTGAGCAGGATATAAGTAATTTTAAATTAAACAGTATTTGTAATAAAGTAAGTGTAGACATTAGATGACTCTTTACAGGAATTGTTCAAGAAGGTTGTGCAAGTCACATGCAGGGGGGCGTGACTATGACTGCATAAACAAATGATTTAACTCCTAAATGGCAGTGAATTGTGCAGTGAGACAGGTTTGTACTAGTAACACTAAAGGGTCAACTGAGCATCTCCTGGGGGAAAAAAAATTATACGCTTTATACATGATTTTTCAATATCATATTCAATTGTGTAAATTCCAATAAATATGAAAAACACCTGTTGTCTCAAGCACACTTCACACAGCTAATCAATCAAACTTCATTAGTTGCTTGAGGAACATTGAAATACCTGAACTGGCTAGTGGTTTGAGTGTCATGTTTGACTGCATGTTTGAAATATGGCAAAAGAATGGTCCACAAAGTTAAAAAGAGATCACCCTTTACAAACAAGGAACATGATTCAAAGAGATAGTGAAGGCACTGAATGTTCCTAGAGACACCGTTGGAAGCATAGTTAGCAAGTTCAAAGTTGAAGGAACAATAGTTACACTACCTGGATGGGGCAGAAAAATTAAGCCATCAATGGCAGCAACCAAATTTCTGAGAAGGCAGGTTCTAAAAAAAAAAAAAAACCCTCTAGTGACTGCAAGAGACCTGAAGCAAGACTTGTTGGCAGCAAGCACTGAGGTTTCAGTGAGTACAATAAGCCTTGTACTAAAGGAAAAAGGTTTCCACGCCAGAACTCCAAGACGTACACCACTACTGTCCCAAAAGCACAAGAAAGGTCAGCTCCATTATGATCAAAATTGTATAAATAAGCCACAGAAGTTTTGGGATTCTGTTCTGTGAAGCGATGACACAAAACTAGAACTTTTCAGCCCAATGCTTCAGCAGTATGTTTGGAGGAAGAAAAATGAAGCATACACTGAAAATAACACTCTGACTACAGTTAAACATGGTGGGGGCTGAGTGATTCTCTAGGGCTGCTTTGCATCCTCTGGCACTGGAAACCTGCAGCTTGTGGAAGACAAGATGGATTCATTGAAGTATTAGGAAATCTTAGAAGAATTGGACCTTTCAACAAGACTATAATCCCTAACATACCTCAAACTCCACCAAGGCTTGGTTGCATGTCCTGAAAAATTCCACAGTAGCCATCACAGTCACCTGACTAACCCCATAGAAAATCTCTGGTGGGATTTGAAGAAGGTGGTTGCAGCACACAAAACTAAGAATATTGCTGAACGGGAGGCAATTGCTCATGACAATGGGCTAGGGTTTTTCAGGAATGCTGCCAGAAGCTGGTGTCTGGCTATGCATCTCATTTGCAGCCAGTTATAACCGTAAACAGGTGCTCTACTAAGAACTAAAGATGCCATGAAGGGGTTCAATAATTATGAGACTGGAGAAGTCTTTATAAGTTGCATTTTCAGTTGAATTTGGGGAAACTACGTGAATCGTTAATTGTGATGAGCTATTTCAATAGCTTTTGTTTATTGCAAACAGCTGAAAGTCTAATTTTGACGACAACCCTATGTTTTCAATAAGTATTGAATAATTTTGATTAAAACTGTATATACCCTGGGTGTCTACTTTCTACAAATATATATATTTTTGTGCAGCAGTTTTGGATTCAGTGACTATTATATTTTCATCATGTTAAAGCTAAACCTTTGCAAATTTTAAAACGCTAATCTGCTCTGCGTGCTATCTGGCCTATAACCTCCAAAAAATAATTACAAATTTAAACTTCTTTGGGATTTTCAAATTTGTAAATATTTTATTCATACTTAAATCTGCAGCAAACAAATAGGAAGATACTTGCTTACAAAGTATCTGTATTCTAAATCATCAAGCTTTGCAATCTATGCAAACCAGGTCTAATATGAATAAAGGGAGGACCAGGCTTATTTAAACAGCATATGCAAATTGCTTTAGCTAATTAATAAAATAAGGGGGGGGAGGGAGTTGCAGGACCAACCTATATGAAGAGCACAAGTGGTTTTAGTGTTTATTTTAATGAAGGCATCATCACTTGCATATTAGGTTGATTATAGATGCCATCTGCTATAAAAGTACTTGATGGAATTCAGCTCTTCTTTGCCTATGCTGATATTTAATTCTTGGTTTAGCCTTCATAAATATAAATAGTATAACATTTGTTTTGACATATATTTCTTTAACCATGAAATTCCATGTAATCATTTATGTTCCTGTTTGTAATTAAAGAATCACATTTATCATGGTTGCAATATATTTAAACCATGTTCTTTTTTTCCAGTGCTTGCTGAAGATGCTATCCGAGCTGCCCTTGCAGATTACAGATTGAAGCAGGACAAGGAGCAGTCTGCAGCCAGTGGTTAGCTGAACCAATCTGCCGCTATCTTCTCATCACAACATCACTTTGCTGTGCCAGTTTCTTTGTACAAACGGCACGCCTGTTAAATAACAGCAGGCTTACGATACGCACAATAATACAGCAGCTTGTCAAAGTATGTGTGGATGTGTTTAATTTGTAGTGTTATGATTGCTTTCCTAATGCACACTTGTACTCGCAATAAGGAAGTGAAGCAGTGACATTTTATGTTCTACAGACATCTGTAGCGGTTATGGTGCTATGAGTATCTAAGAAGCAATTATATTGTTATTTTAAATTTCTAACACATGATCTCCAATAAATAATTTAAAACAATGTAAATATTGTAAAACATTGTATAAATAGATAATTATCTACACATTACCAATTCCCAATGTGACTACAGAGAAATCATATTTTGCATCCCCTGTGTAACCTCTAACAATATATTAAGGTCTCCAAATTAGTTGTAGGCTAAAGGATCACACTGGAGTAGAGCCTGCAGAATTCATGGCAAATAGCATCCCTGTATTCAGTCTTACAACCATATTACTCAAGATATGTGTGGCTCTGGAATTCAGAATAATTGACTAACAGATATAATGGGACACATCGGGTCAGAGGTAAGTTGCTCAATGTTATATTTGGCCAGTTATTAGATAAGATTTAGAAGAGAATATTAAGTATGGCAAATTCAGTATAGATTTATTATAGAAATCATACTCTTATATTTATTACACTAAATGTGAATGAAGGTCAGATCCCAATAATTTTAGTAAATTATAAAAAACAGAATTTATTAAAGAGACACCCACTGTTCAAATAAAATGTTTAGTAGATACAGCCCCAAAGAAAATATTTACACATTCAATTATGCATTTTTTTTTACTGGGGTTATATCACAAACAGCTTGCAAAAGCGAAAGCTCTCTTGTCTGCTGCTTTTACAAGCTCTCCACTTCTAAGACATTTTGTGGCTGTCCAATTGCAGACTTTGCAATGCAGCTCAATGAGAAGTCTTTTTACACAGGTGCTCTAGGCAATTGCTGCCTCTTAAGTTTAGCTCGACTGAGTTAAACAACCAGGAAGTAACAGGACCAGTTGTCTGACAGCCGGGGTGGTGTAACAATGTTCATTTATAAAATGACCAATTTCTATGGAAATCTGCACCTTTTGTAAAATGAAAAAAAGAGGACACTCTTCGAACCTTAAACACTTAAACAAGCTGATGTGCTTTAGGGGTATGTAGTATATATTTTATGGGAGACCCCATATGCTGACCAGTGTAATATAAAGACAGTTTATCAAAAATTTTATTTTTATTTTTTTTCCCCAATATAATTTTTATTTCACATTTTTTTTCCAGAAATGTAAAAACAAATACAAAAATACAGTTAATTTGGGCACATGCTATTAGGGAGCGGAGACACTTTTACAGATAATATTTAATTCAATTATATTCATTATAGTTATATATGAGGAGCTATTGAACTTGTCTCTTTATCTTTCTTTCATTCTTCTCTCACCTTCCTTTTTCATCTTCTTCTTGATACACATGCATAAGCATTACAAAATATATAATCATGAGGTTAGAGGTATCAAAAAAGTCTAACTAGCATGTGTAACATTTGGTCTATCTAAATCTTATTGACACAAGACACAAAACATTATTTAAAAAAATAAAAAATAATTTGTTCTCTTGATCCAAGAGAGCTGAAAGGGAGGGGAGGGGGAAGGCAAAATGCATTCTTGTAGACTTCCCCTAGATATATGTATTTTTTATAATATGCAGAATTTATTACGTTTATTGTATCATCCCAAAAACCATTATATATCTTAGTTATTTTTATAACTTGTCGGAATAAACGTTTCCATCTTTATTTGGTGGTTTATTTGATGTCTCATCAGACACCAATCAGGTATAAAAGAGCTTTTCCAATTTCTGGCTAAACTTAACTTAACAGCTGTCAGTACATGGAGTAACAAGACCAAAGCTTTTTTTTTAATGTTAGGAATGTTAAAGGGACACTCCAGGCACCCAGACCACTTCTACCCATTGGAGTGGTCTGGGTGCCAACTCCCACTACCCTTAACCCTTCATAAACTGCAATATTTACCTTGAAGGGATAAGTCCTCCTCTAGTGGCTGTCTATTAGACAGCCACTAGAGGACACTCCCATGTTCATAGAACACAAAAAGTGTGTTATAATGTCGCTGGACAGTCTGAAAGCCTTTAAAGTGTTTGATAGGAATTCCAAGCTGACCCTGTCGAAGGCTTTCTCTGTGTCCAAAGACAGCATCGGAATCCCTCTTTGATTGGTTAACTCAAAAACATTAGATAATGTAGGTATATGATTAGCCATTGACCTCCCTGGAATAAATTCTACCTGATCTATGGGAATTATATCAGATTTTCAGCTTCTCTTTCTCCTTGATCCATCAACACATCACCTCTTGTTCTTGTGCATTCAAACTCACCTTGCTGAATTTACTTAATCTACACATACACATCTGTGGTACAGTGCTACATACAATGTTGGTACTTTACAAATTGTTATAAAATAATTAGTAAAATGAGTTCTAAAGCTTTGATTTGCTGAATCATGGGTATTATTAGTACAAAATAATTATATCCTTATACAGATAATTATTAATGCTGTTGATCTTGTCCTTGGTGATGTCGACAGTTATTCTTTAACGAGGTAACACAGGATGTCATTGATTATGTGATTGCTGATATCAATATGTCATTGATTATATGTGATCACATAAACTTACTAGAATGAGGCATGAACCTGAATGCAGAGATCATGGCATTTTTACCCATTGGAATTAGAAATTATCATGTTTTTTATTGAACTTGAAAGGCTTTGAATAAATTCCTACTCAGGTCTGTATCCAACTTATAGCAAACCATTGAGTCTTTTCCTCACAATTTCTTGTTTAGAAAATTTCCTATAATTGTTAGTTTCATCCTTGAATAATTGTATTAATGTAGGAGTAAAGTTCCAATACCAAAGTCCAAATAAACACATGAGAGCTATTGTGTAAAGTTGTGTTAATGTAAGATACACAAATAACAAATAATGCATTTTTTTCAGGTTATTGTTGAAATGAACTGGACAGAAGTGTTACACTTTAAACACGATTCATTTTTTGACCCTTTGTTGTTTATTTTTATTTTTATATACATCTTCACATTGACTGGAAACGTAATAATTATTTTATTGGTGGCAAAGGTCCAGAGTCTAAAATCTCCCATGTATTTCTTCCTCAGCCAGTTATCTTTGTCAGATATCTTGCTTACCACAAATATAACTCCGAACATTCTTCATATTATAAGCAATGGTGGAAGTACAATATCCATCGCTGGCTGCATCACACAAATGTACATTCATGGTGTTTCAGCTAGTGCAGAATGCCTACTTCTCACAGTGATGTCGTATGACCGGTATTTGGCCATCTGCAAACCCTTACATTATACCTCTATCATGAACCTTAGACTTCAAATATACTTGGTTATTTCTTCTTGGTTTCTTGCTTTCCTATTTTTATTGGTATTGACCAGTGTTATATGTCATTTACGTTTTTGTGGCCCTCACATAATTAATCATTTTTTCTGTGATTTTGCACCTATTTTAGAGATGTCTTGTTCAGATGTTACAATTGCTAAACTTACAAACGTTGTATTGGCCTTCCTTGTTTCTGTTTTACCATTTTCCTTTATTGTTTATACCTATATCTATATATTTATCACCATCTTTAGGATTCCTTCCACCAGAGGAAAACAGAAAGCCTTTTCTACTTGTAGCTCTCACTTGATTGTAGTTAGCATGTATTATGGAACTATAATAACCGTATACATTATTCCAAATAGTGGATCATCTTTTAACACCGATAAAGCCATATCTCTTCTATACACCATGGGAACCCCATTACTGAATCCAATTATATACAGTTTAAGAAACCATGATATTAAGACAGTTATAAAGAAATTAATTTACATAAGTTAAATATTAATTCACATTAACCCGCATGATGTGTGTAGCGGATGGTACTGTGGCTGTCCTTAAAGACTAGGAGAATCCTGCAATTCGTGTGTTGTTTCTGTTTTGTATTTAATTGTAAGTAGCATTCGTATGATTGTTCGGTAGTTTCCATCTGTATTTCATACAAATGGAAACTACCGAACTAATAGACCACCCCAGAGTGAAGTATGTCCCTCGTTAAGCTGCAGACTAATAGGTGGTTTATGGATGTATCTGGGTGGCCGCCATTCGGCATGCGAACACGTGGCGGCGGCCATCTTACGCACGAAAGGCTCAGCAGTGTTTGGTCGTCGAGTTTCTGGAACTCAAATCGGACACTCGATTACCCGAACACCGCTGATACCTCCAGAGCTCCATAACTCACGAATGAGAAGACGAGTCAGCCCCACGTTCGGTGAGTTTAGAGTACCGAATGAGGGAAGTCATGCGAAAGTAACTGTATTAGTGGATGGCAGGTTTTTATGTGTCTTTTACCTCCCGAACAGAGACTGACCGCAGGGCCAAAATGCATGGAACCCTTTTCGGATACCACCTCATGTGCGGTTGGTCAAATTTCACCCTCCACCTAACTCCCGAACCCCTGGTCTGATCTGGGTGAATTTTGGATATGTTGGTCACCCAGTTTAGGGCTACCAGGGGGTACCCAAAGAATTGGTGTACATGCTAATCTTGGGGTACATCCAGATCTTGGGGAAAACTATAACCTGTAAAATGGGATTAGGTGTCATACTAAGGGGAGGAGATATGTGGGAGGTAACTGCTATTCCATTGGGTACTGTCTTAATGAATGTGAATCTCTCCCTTGCATGGGAGAAATGCTTAAAAGGAGGTTGTGTGGAATAAATGTTAGTTCTGCTCCTGATGCTGTGTGTCGTCCAGTCATTGGGATCTGTATGGGGATATTCTTGGATTACCTTGCTTGCGGGAATTATTACTTTATGGGATTTTTCATCACTTGTT